TCTTTTCTTAGATAAGCTTCAAGTGTTTGAGTATCATTTATTTTAAAAATATAAGGAGCAATTTTTTCACCTTGTTCTTTCTTCAGAATACTTCTGATAACACTTGTTGTATGTGAAAATGAAATTATGTGAATTCGCAATTCACATTGTGAAATTCAAATTTACATGTGTGAAATTCAAATTAGCCAATCAGAATTTCACCCCACTCCATAGTATTTCAATTTCACATAATTTCAATTTCACATACAACACTTTTATAATTATTGGTAGATCTGATGTAAATGAGTTCATATTAACTATTTTTATATAGGGATAATTCTATATATCACAAATGGATATTATAAAACTGATAATTATAATCACATTACAAATGATCCCTGAAATATTTGGTAATACAAATGTTCACTTTGTCTGGTTTTGTTGCAGCATGCCCCATATATCACTTAAGATAACAAATAGAATATTATAAAACTGATAATTATAATCACATTACATATGACTAAATTTTGATCCTTGAAATCTTTGGTAATAAAAATGTTCACTTTGTCTGATTTTGTTGCAAGCATGCCCCAATTAATAATAATTTTATTTTGATCAACATCTTTAATCATGTCAAGTTACCTCAATTTTTTTGACATCAATTTTGTAATGAAAGTAATATAAAAAAATACAAAAATATTTGCGAATTTGAAACATTTTGCACAGTATTTGATGGGTTATAGCAGCGTGCACTGTACAAGACTGATTCCAAAAAATATATATACAAAAGGCCACTTTGGTTGAACAATACTTATCGGTCGAAAGCTTATATTTTGAAATACCATCAACAGCTATTAATTACAAAGAAACTATTTATGTAAAATATATGGGTAAAGAAGCAAAAGAAAAAATTGAACAGACATTGGATGTCTATGAAAAATTTCTTGAGGGAAAATATTATTTGATTGGTGAATATCCTATACCTAATATCTATTAAAATATGCTTGAACTGTCTTTGATGTCTGAGTTTGAAGCAGCATAGGTTGATCAATATTGGTACTTAGAACAATATTTACATATCGCATAAGATGGGTTTTGGTACATACAGTGTTTTTATAAGTTTTTATCACTTTTAAATCTTCAATGTTAAGATCCTTTTGTTGTTAAATCGATCACTAAAGTTTGGCGATAATGGAATTTTTATTTTTCAATTTTACATCCCGAAATACAAATTAGTATTATAGTGCGATGATAATTTTTTGGTGACCATAGTATTATAAAATCACACGGCTCAATCACGTACATATATATTCGTTCGGAGCATCAAAATTAGCACTGGATGCGAAGCATCTTAGCATACTATCATGTCGTGATCAACGACGCAATATTTTAATAAAAACAGATTACTTCATGGACAGATAGATTAGCCTAATAAATTACAACAAAAACACATAAATAGACCGCTACCCCCAATTGTGGACCAAAAAACGTGCATCAGTTTTGCTTTTTGCGTTGGATTCAAATTCGAGGGTCAAAACACGTAGTGCCAAATGGCGTTCTACGTCAAATTCAATGCGTGGTGTCTATATATTGTTCTGAGCATCAACATTAACCAGTCATTTTATTTTTATTTTTATTTTATTAGTTGTGTTGAACAAAAAATTTATTTACTTATTTAAAAAAATTACATATACAAAGGGAAATTGTTCATGAATTTAATAAAATTAATGGAGAATTCTTTGCAAAGAAGAACCCTCATGTGAATCAAAGGGTCGATTGGATTTTTTTTTTCAAGTCTATCGCTATAAAAAAAACAAGTTTCATACAACATCAAAAGTTATTTACAAATTTTGGTTGTTAAAAAAAAATCCTTTGCGAAGAAAACAAATAAAATCCCTTGATCAATTAACCTTCTAAAGGAAATAATATCCTGATCTTGTGAACTGCTAAGCTATTTATATCATCCTTTGTAATTCTCAAGAAAAAAATTTTTAGCAACATTTGACTTTGACAAACTGAGTAATTTTTTAATTAAATAAATTAAAGGATAATACTTGGCAATGAGATTTGCATATTCGACTGATGATGCATATTTCTATCATTATTGCCAACTGGCTTTCTGGATAATTTGTTTCCAATATCTTTATGCAAACATGGTAAGGTATTAGATAATGGTCTACGATTCACAATTACTAACTATTAGAATTAAAATATTATATAATCAATTTTGTAAAAAAGAGATTTTATAGTTTAATGTATAAAAAAATCTAGTGTGTAAGATTGTTTGTATCCGGTGTATTCTTAAAATATAATATATCACGTTAAGTCATATGATCAAAAGGATTTCCAAATTTGATAAATGTTGATAAGAAAACCTGTTTAGTTTTTCGTTCCATTTTTAATCGAATTTTGTAATAAAATTAATTAATTATTCAGTGAATAATTAATGAATATTTCATTTTAACAAATTATTAATTATTTCAAAACTATCAATCAAAAAAAACAATTAAGTTTTAATTAAATAATCTCTCGCTTGGCGTGGACGTTCCAGGCACACACAAATATTTAGTAACTTTGACAAAATCGGAAATCTATTTTTATTATGTAGAATAGATCATCTTTCAATATCCAACTTGGCCTTTTGGAACCATAAAATATGAGCAGTAGAAGGCTCCTTCCCTTTCATTATTGTATTATTGCTTTTTCCTATTATAGTGACTAGATTCCTCTCTTCTATTTTAAATTAATAGAGGTTAAATAATTAATTTAATTAATTAGAATGAACAAACAAATGAATTGAACGAGAATTTATCTGGATGTGAGAAAATTCAGTTACACGAGATATCGAGATATCGAAATATTGATCAGCCGAATAATAATATTCACTGAATATTCACTTTTAATTTATCATATTCGGTCAATCAATCAATGAAAAAATCAAATGTCCGATTAACCAAATATTCACTGAATGTTCAATGAATATTGCAACCTCTAGTGCATTTATTATAAAAACGGGATTACAAAATTTCGATATCTAGTAGGATATTCTTTTTTTTTACGGTTGGTAGAATTTCTGCGCACTTTTCAATTCCCGCTCACTGTACTAAATTTGTGTATTCTCGATTTGGTTGAGTGTGGCGTTGAATACATACAGGCATTATTTGGTACGGAGACGCAGATGTACGTAACCTGTGTAGAGTTTATTACTATTACTATTTATTTATTATATATACTTACCGCCCAGAGTCCCAAATTCAAAATAGGTAAAAAATTTAAAGCGTAATCCCAGCCTCCTGAAATACCGTAAAACAAGACACGTACCTAAATGTGTCACCCAATCCATGAAATTCAAGAGTTTGAGATTTGGGATTGAGATTGAGATTTGACCTTTTGAGTTTTGACAACAAGTACACATGGCATACCTACTATCAATATATTTAAATTAGATTATTCCACACTGTTTTTAATGCATCAAAAAATTCTCCTTTGCTCCTTGACTTGCTTTTTTTCCGTGATTGAATTTTTTGTAATAGTAATACAACTTTGCCAATTTCGAGTAAAATACTTGATACTTTTCTAGTTTCACATAAACTCATTTTTATTATGTGATAGATATATTTTTATTTGACAGCAAAAATAGAATCTTTGATAAACAAACAATCTTAAAAATAGTAACTTTGCGGACATTAAAAAACGTGACGTTGTCATTATTATAATAACTATTTTTTATTTATATCCGTTAAGCAAATTACACCTATAAAATGCCCAAAGATCCCTTAATATGAATAAACATGGTACTGTAGACATACTTTTCCAAAATGTTAAAAATGTCGTATAATAAATTATTATCACCAGAAAGAAAGAAATTTGTAATGAAAATCCATAACGAAATGTATAATAATGCGGTGGTTAATTCTAAAAGAAAAAGTAGAAAAGGCTATTTTTTTTCATTAGTCAAGAAAAACAAGGAACTTTCTGCAAATGAAAAAGAATTTTGTAGAGAAAAGTTTATTTATGAGCTTGAATTAAATAATACAATTTATAAAAAGAACAAACCAAAAGAGTGTAAAAAGTGTAAATCAATAAGATACTCTGATAGATTCTGTGAAAGTTGTATTAGTTTACAATTACAGAATCTTTTCACCACTTGGACATCTGGAAATGACATAATTGATAACTTTATTCAACAAAGTCAAAAGGAGTCATCCTTGCCAAGACATATTTTAGAATGGATACCTTTTGGGCAATTTGAAGATATAACAAAATTAACTGAAGGTGGATTTAGTTCAATTTATACTGCTACATGGACAAGAGGAAATATAACCGATTATGATGAAGATAAAAGGCAATTTAATTATTTTGGTACTTATCATGTAGTATTAAAAAGTTTAAATAATTCAAGTGACCCAGGAAAAGGCTTTTTTGATGAGGTTGGTAGTTTTTATTTAAAACGAAAATAAATAATGCTGTATTATATAATATTAAATGATTTTATATTTAATTATAGGCAATGAATTATTGTAAAATTAAATCAACAATGATTATTCCTTGCTATGGTATAACTAAATTCCCAGATAATGGAAATTATGCAATGGTTATAAATTATCAACCAGAAGGAGATTTAAGGGATTATTTACGAAAAAATCATTTTAATTTGACATTAAAAAATAGAATTACAATTTTTAGATGGTTATGTGTTGCATTATATTATATACATGGAAAAGATTTGGTACATTGCGATTTACATAGTGGTAATGTATTAATGGCAGGAGGTATTTGTTATATTACAGATTTGGGGTTATGTGGACCAATTGATAAGTCATCAAATAAAATATATGGTATTGTATCATACATTGCACCTGAGCTACTTAGAGGCACGAATAATGCAAAGAACACAAAAGAAACAGATATTTACAGTATTGGGATGTTAATGTGGGAAATATTTGCAGGCCATCCACCATTTGATGATAAAGCTCATAATCATCATTTAATTCTTGGTATATGTGAAGGTTTACGACCACCAATATTACCTGAAATGCCTGATGATTATGCACAAATGATGCAGAAATGTTGGGATGTGGATCCATCAAAAAGACCAACTATTAATGAGCTTCGGACATTTGCTTTTAATAAGCTAGATGAAATCCTTAAAAATAATAATAATAGTTCATTCGGATTTTTTAAATGCGATAGCAACAATAATAGTTTAATAAAAAGATTATTCAAATTTTCTAAAATTAAAAAACATGAAACTGATGTTGGTAGTGGTGGTGGTGATTCGCAACGAGTGCACAAATCACATCCAGATGCATACCATATGAGTAGAATATTAGATGGCGAAATTTCAAAAAGCTTGAAAATTCATACAAATCATAGTTCTATAAATAATCTTGATTGTAATTCTACTCTCTAAATGTGGAGAATTAATTTTTCATTACTAATTAATTATTAAAATATCTTTGATATTTTCGTGAATTTATATGACCAAAATAATTTCTACAAAGCATTCCACGAGAATGACTTAGTTTTGTATATAGAATATATGTAGTAGTAGTATTAGTATTGTATTATTTCATTGTATTTATAATATACCTGTACACATTATTATTATTAATCAAATTGTATAAATTTATAGGAAACTAATTATTATTATTTAATAAATAAAAAAAATAAAATAAAATAAAATGTGTTCGAATGGTGGTTGGTATTCAGTGCCCGAGTTTGAAACACACGTAGGCATGTCAATATTGGTATATAGAGCAACCTTAACATTGTGTTGATTTGATGTTTTTCCGAATTGGAAACACACATAGATTAGTCGATATTGGCATGTAGGATGATTTTTACACGGTATATAGTACAAGTTTAGGCATAGGTTTTTGTAAGTTTTAAAGTTTTACAGATAAAATATGCTAAATTCCTTCATTGTTAATCACTAGAATCACAATTTGATGATAGCGAAAAACCTTTTTGATGTCAAAGTCTTTAAATAATGCAATTTTTATTTTTTTCAAAATTAGTTAATATTTATTAGCATAAAAAAGGTACGCACACTACCATGATAATAATAAAGGCGAATTAAACTTTTCATTGCTTGATAATCTGGAAAGTTATAAAAAAGATTGGTAAAAGAAAGGGATTTCTTCAAACTCTTTGACAATTTGGCTCCTACCACAGATTGGTGACCGTAATTGCAGTTATAAATAAACAAGTGATTCTTTTATAATAGCATCCAGAATTGCTGCTGTAACAATGATTTATGTTTTAGCCATATGTATCAAACTGTTGATGGGTGTAGTGACAAGTTGATGGTCATGATCGCAATTATAGACAATCAAGTAAAGGCAGCTAGATCGGGCGCAACGACCTCTATCCTATTTGTTTTTATCTCAAAAAATCTGTTTCCAAAATAAATTTACATTAAGAGAAGTTAAAACGTCATATAATAAATTATCATCATTATTATCACTAGAAAGAAAGAGTTTGTAATTGAAGTTCATAATGAAATGTATAATCTGGTTAATTCTGATAGAGAAAATACAAAAGATTGTTTTTTTCATTAATCAAGAAAAACAAGAAGCTTTCCGACTTTGAATTAGGGAATGCAATTTATAAATTAGATAACCAAAAGAATGTAGCAAGTGTAAGTTGACAAAATATCCTGATAGATTCTGTAAAGTTTGTATTAATTTACAATTAGAGTTTTTTAATAACTGGAGACCTGAAAATGACATAATTAATAACTATGTCAAATGAATTCAACTTTTATTGTAGAATGGATATTTTTTGAGCAATTAGAAGATATAACAAAATTAATTGAAGGTGAATTTAGTTCAATTTATATAGCTACATGGACAATTAAATTGTGAGGAATTGTCATTTGCTATTACTATGGTATAACTAAATTCTCAGATAATGGAAATTATGGAATAGTTTAAACTATTATTTAGAAGGAATTTAAGAGGTTATTTACAAAAAAATATACTATTTCGACATTAAAAAATAGAATTTCATTTTTTTAGATGGTCATATCATTATATATGGAAAAGATTTATTGATTGTGATTTACGTAGTGTAATATATTATTGAAGGGAGGTGATTGTTATACGTGAACAGTTCAGAAGTCATCAAATAAATCTATGGTATTGTATCATACGTTGTGTCTGGGCTACTTAGAGGCAAACTAATGTGGGAAATGTTTGCAGACCACTCACCATTTGACAATAGAGCTCATAATCATTGTTTATTTTTTGATATACTCTATGAGAAGGTTTACGACCACCAGTATTATCTCAAATTCCTAATGATTATGCAGGAGCATTGGATGTGGATCTATCAAAAGACCGACTATTAGCGAGCTTTTTCTTTTTCTAAAGAAAAGTTTAAAGAATTCATACAGCTAAAGATTTGAAAAACAATTGTTTTATAAAAATATTATTCAATTTTTCTAAAGGCAATGAGCATGAAATTGATTTTAATAATGATGGCAACAGCAATGGTGGTCGTGGTGGTGTTTTGCAACAAATCACATACCATACAAGTAGAATATTTAGATGATGAAATTATCAAGCAAACCAACTTAAAAGATTATACAAGTAATGATGGTTCGTTAAATAACCTTGATTTTAACTATACTCTCTTAAATCTTAATTTTAATAAAGCGGATTAAATTTTCGTTACTACTACTCATTAATAATCTTTTTTGTTCGCTAAAATGACTTCATCATCCTCTTACAATAGGAAGCTTGTACTTGAAGCAGTTTTTTATTTAACTTGTTGGTAAAAAATTTAAATAAATTAGATCACTACTTTTCTTTCCATGTGACTGTTAATCCCTAAGAAAAATATTTAATAGTGATAGTTATGCTTGTGGGCGAAACTGAAATTTGATTTGTCGAAAGTCGAAAATTTCAACGTACTTTTGACCATATCAAAATGCGTGATAACATATATTGTGGCTTAGAGCTTTTACCGTTTTCCGGATGTAGTTTGGGAGACCTGCTAGTAAACCCAAGCCGAATAAAATTAACAGGTTCTATGCTAATCTTTATTCGGACAACAGCTTCAAGGCTTAAAAAGAAATGTTATCTTTTTTACAAAAGAAAAAAACGATAAAATAAATAATACATAAAATTTAAAATATAATTTTAATTTCCAAAATATCGTGATGGAGGCATGAATGAAGCAACATAGAAACTTATTAATATTTTATAATGAAAGCGAATGATTTGTGGAAAGAAGGCAAATAAGATGCCAACATACAAACGTGATTAAATAACGGTCACATGAGATATCATATGCTTAGATTTAAAGGATAGTTGGTCATGCATTTATGAGACGAAATAAATAATACGTGTTTTAGGTCCAGGTAAGCTGTAGTGTATAGGTTGAACCCGGGTTGGATGCACTGGGTCAGGTACCCGAGCCATGACAAATGACCACCCTGGTATAGGGCGTGATGCAACTCAAAATTTTTGTATAACGGAAGACTTTCATTACACAGACCCCCCATTGATAAGTTGGATTTTTTTGGATTAATTAATTAATAAAGAATCAGTTACTGTTTGTAAATTTTTTTACGTAATAAAAATCGTCGTGTAACTTTAAATTTAATTTAAAAATTCATGTTCACACCAGGCGTAGCGCTTAGAAATCAAAGAAACCTTGTTTTGGAATTATATTATATGTATTAATAATAGTAATACTTTACCACTAACAAATAAAATAGCGAATCAACAATCGTTTAACAAAAACTCATAAGCACAAAAAAGAAGCAGTACATTCTAATCCCTCAGTCATGAATGTAACCCGGGTCCATCACATAGTAAGGTGACACTTATACCTGCAAGTGGTAACCATGCATTTGTATATTCTATAATAATGATTAAGATAGATATTAGTAAATATTTAATATTATATATTTGTTGATAAAATTAATTACACCTTTGATAAAAGATTTCAAACTTTACGCAGCCCATCCATTTTAATTGGTTATTTTACAACATCAGTCGCTCCTTTGTAAGCTTTAAACATTTTTATTTTTAAAATATATATATTAGCAATGTGATATATATTCACTCATATTCACAAACATCATCATCACCTTTACCACTACCACCTTAATTAATCAAAAGGAACAATTCAAAAATAAAATATAAAGAAAAAAACTCCGGCGAGAAAGGACTTTAAGCCACTTGTTGTTTGTTTTTCTTCTCCGATTGTTGTTTAATCTGACTTCTTTTTTCATTAATTAAATGCCTAAAAACATACTACGCCACCTGATTAAACAAGTCTTTAAACTTTTGACTAATTCATTAATTATTATAAAAAAAGAAATTCCACTAGTAAAATGAGAAAAAAAGACATTTAAAATTCTGGAATCTGTATTAATTGCAATGGATATATTGAATGTCTTTACAATTAGTTATGGTAATAATAATGATAATAAAAATTTCTCTGATGTCCATTTAATAAAACAACAATTTTTAAAATGACTTAACCACTCATTCTTATTTAGAGAATTGATAACAAATCATCTACCAATTGAGTTTTCCATTACAATTCAATAATGTTCTTTAGCGGTTGGTTCATGGTAATCTTCATATAAATTTAATAAGATGAAGATATCCAAATTTTTTTTTGGTTATTATTAGTTTCTTTTGATTATTTCTTTTGCCTAAGAGGAATCCAAATCATAAGAACTCTATTAAAGAGTATTATTTCATTACAAGTGTAAGATGATGGATAAAAGAAGAAACACGAGTTCTTTCATGTTAATTGGCAATGAAAACAATTCAAAGGTAATGAAAAGAGAATGGTGAAAAGCATTGATTAATAACTAGGTTTATCCGAGATACACTAGATGAGAGGCTAATATTTGAATTAAATGTTGACTGGTTCTGCCTTAAAACACATAATATGCGAGATTTTTTAAAAAAAGCTTTCCTAAAAACAATTACTTCTTCATCTTCCAACTACAACTCAACTCTTTTATTAGAAAAGTTGCATCTAGAACCTATGTTAATAAAGATTGTAATACCCTGAAGCTAGTCATAGATAGAACATAATAAATTCACTTCCAATTAAGATATGAAGTTTTGACATTACAAAGACACGTGTCTTATTGCATGATCAGCCAACAAGAACGAGAACACAAGAACTTCGTAAGAGAAATCACAAATCATTACATGTTTAAATTTCCATCAAGTAAAATACAATCATTAATACACATTTGACGGAACATTCTTGTTTTTTGATGATTATTGGACAATTAAATTTTTGGCAGGAAGGTACTAACCAGCATCAGAAAGATTCCATCGGGATAAAATCAGAAATTGTACATGCAATCTCCAAATGATAGGTAAAAAATGAAAGCACCAGCCTGGGGAGAAAAAACAGGACCATTCGATAGAGGTGGAATGACTTTAAGTGGAAATTTTCGAAGGTCATGCGAGTAAAGCTTGTATTAATAACAAACAAATCGATCATAAAAGTTTTTCGTATGACATTAATATTAATGAGGGTAATAAACACAAATGAGCAGATCTATTTATTTTCTAAATCTTGTAATTAAAATGTTTTTTCGATAATGCCAGTAATTTTACTAGACTCAATATATTGGTCCACATAAGATTCATTGATGCACAAACATTTAAAAAATAATTTTCCTAATTACTATTTCCTGACAAGATCACATGATCTATGAGCATTTCCTTTATAGGTAAGATATTCAATTTATTTGTTTTCAATTTCATTCCAACATTTTTTTTTTTAAAATGGACATTATAAATACTACTACTGTTGGCGCTATAGAAAGCAATGCTCTTGATATTTCTATTGATTCATTACCATGTAAGAAAGGATCAGATACTTATTACTTGTCTAATTGTGTGTATATTTCTAAAGAAAAAATCATATAATATTAAATATATTTTTAGATTATGATCAAGAAATTGAATATGAAGGTATGAAGAACTTTTGATTTTTTATTTTTTCAAGATTATTTGTTTAATCGTATAAAATTTGTCATTTTTAACAGGAATGGGTGCAAAAGTTGACAAACTTATTGAACAAGAAATGCGCAAAAGGCCAACCAGTATTAAACGAGATATCAAAACAAGTTTTCCTGATATCGAATTGTTTAAAGTTATTAAAAAAATTTCATTTCAATAATTTATTATTACTGAAATAATAATTTATTATTACTGAAATAATAGTTTATTTATATTTATTATTATTGTTATTATTATTAGAATTCGCCGATACTTTTAACAGAGTATCAACGTGTTGAACAAGGAACACCAATGACACGTATAGATTTGAATAGATATAGGTTAGAAGAGCCAAAAGATACCAGTGACATAGAAGAATGGATAGAAAGTATAAATAATTCTAAATCACAAGCATCTCATCAAGATCTAAGGTACCTTTTTGAAATTAATCAGTCAATGTATGTTTTTTATTATATTTATATAAATATATAATAATTAAACATTTTATTCAACAGGTCAATGAATTTAGAGTTATTATTAGAGTATGGATCTAATGCATGGAGAATTCATAATTTTCAATTAGAACAATATTTAAGGCATCTTGAAGCATCTTTGGATCGACATAAACAAAAAAGTTTTGATTTAAATAGACAAAGAAAAGCAGAGCAGGTCCGTTTTTTCATTTTTTATATATTTTTAATGCACATTAAATATGATGATAATAACAATAATATTTAAAACAGCTTGAGGTGGGACGTCAGATTGAAATGTTGGATAATAAATGGAGTGAATTGATTGGCGAAACAATTCAATTGGAAGTTGCATGTTCAACATTACAACATGAAATTTCAGAATTAAAGATTTATCAAGAAAAATTAAAAAAAGAATCAGAATCTAAAGTGGACGAGGACGAGGACGAGGACGAGGATGAGGACGAGGATGAAAACGAAGACGAAATAAAATCAATATAATAAATCACTACCCAATTTAAAAAAAAATTTATTAAGTTGGTATAAAAAAAAATTAAACATATTTATAAAAATTAAAGATCATGTGTCACAGAAGTTTACATTATAGCTATAGAAGTTTGTCCAAACTACTAAATTTCGACAATAATCTCGGCAAATTAAAAATTTAGTTTCGGTTTTCAAGCAAGCAAAATGCCGAAATCTTGGGCATAATTATTTTTGCCGAAACTAAACCTATCTGCTGAAACTATAAAGCATATAATGATTTACTTTACCGATAATTAATGTCAGTATTTGCATTAATTATTAGTAAAGTAATTATTTTTTTGTTATATATTAACATTAACAATTTAATAACAATGATCAAAATGATTTAATTTGAATAATTAAACCCGCCTATTATATAGAAGTTTGCCTAAATTACTAAATGCCGAAACTAAATCCATATAGCATAATTGGTAATAATTTCATCGATTTACAGATCATATTTTGATTTATCACGACACATAAATTTATAAATGCGCAAAATCTTTATTTAAAGATAAAGATATTATCCTAATCAAGATTGTTGAAAAGAAATCATTTTTTGTTATAAAAATTTTTTGGGGAGAATCATTTACAAATTACAAATTGAAAATGAAGGCGTGAGAAGTATCTTCCTAAATATATTATCAATAAAACTAAGCAAACGCGTTCTTTGGGTAATCTATTCATTGTTTGCTTTGTGTGAATATTAAGTATGTTTACATAGCTAATGAAGATTTTCAGATTTGTAAATCATAGACTTAGATTAAGAAAATGATCCAGAATATGGTATTCAACTAGCGCATTTTCAAACGACACCAAATCCGCCAAAGCAAACACCTCACCAAACTTACCCTTTGTTGATACCAATGTAACCAAAGAATATAACACCTTCTACATAATAATAATGTTAAATGTTTTGCAATAATAATAAAATTTCTTGTATTTCAACAATAATTAGTTTGTTTCAAAAGAAAATGCCTAATTATAAAATAGTTTCAACAAAAATTGAAGTTTCAGCACAGTGATCAAGTTTCGAACTATTATTTTCTATAAACTTTTTTTTCAGAGTTTCGGCTAGTGTTCCATGTCGCAATCCAAAAAAGGAAACAAAATGGTCGTAAAGGTGGTAGCGACCATCATCAAAAGTTGCAGCCGGTATCCTTAGTTTCAGTATCATCACAATTTAGTTTAGGCAAACTTCTATAATTATAGCAAAATTCTGAGAATATCAACATTTTGGTGTATTTACCTGATTTCAGATAAAAAATAAAAAAGCATTATTCATTATATAGACTTTGAGATAAATAATTGGTTGATTCTCTGTGACATGATGCTCGCCTTCCTGGCTTTGTTGCAGCACGCCTCATATGTAGTTGCAATAAAAGCCAGCAGAGAAAAATTATATACAGAAATATAGAGTATGGGTATAGGGCAATTAATATTCACCATTACCATCACGATCCAACATATATTCAGTTGCCTTTTTTTATTATAATTATAATTATAAATACATAAAATACAATATTTATAAAATGTAATAATAATGTAAATATTTTACACTTTATTTATTATTTGAATTATTTGAATAAAAATTATATACTGTGTGTAGAATAAAAAATAAATAAGAAATTATGTATAAATTTATTTCAATTGTCAATAATAATGATTTTTAATAAATTTTTTCAAATAAAATAAAATAAAATAAAAAAAATGATAACTAAGTTTACAAAAAAAAAAAATATAAAATAAAAATAAAATAAAAAACAATAATAAAATCTATCGGAAAAACTTAATATTTATATCACCTTTATCATTTAAATTATTTTCAATGTATCTATTAACTCACTCATCACATATGTTTGCATTATGATTACAATTCTTTGAAATTCCCATTGCAAAACACGGGATTGTTATATTTTGGTTTTGTTTTGGGATAATTGTTGTAGGGAGGATTAATCGATTGATCGATCAGTTGATTGATCAATTGGAGCGGCTAGACGGTTCATTATTGTTAATCAGGAAGAAAAATAAAATTAGTATAAATAAATATTAATAACAAATAAACAAACATGAAATAATAATTAAGTAAAGAAATAAAAATGACTAATAATTACCTAACTTTAATGAAGGTGATGATGATGCTGCTGTGCCTTTTTTGATGAGTAAAGCTTGGAAGAAGTTGGCAAGAACTTCGTTTTGATTAGGTTGAGATGCATTGTTAGGCGCAACCGTGATTCCACTTGTAATTGGTGCTGTTGGCGCTGGTATAGCTGCGGCAGGCTTTGTCTAAAAATTTTTGGTTTTTAGTATAATAGCAATAATAGTAATTGATATGGTTATTATTAATTATAATTAAATTAACCTTTGTTGGTCTGACAGGTAAATTTTCGACTGGGGCAGAGTCAAGATCAGGAATCTCAGCACCAATATTTCCATATGTATATTGAGGAGCACCCATTGGACCAACAACTGATGGTGGTCTTTCATTATTGGCTTTCTGTAAGGTATCAAAATGCCTTTTAAAGAATTCTTGTTCATCTTCTGCTTCAATAAGTGTTTGAACTGAGAGTGGCTGTAATATAATAATAATAAAGTTAATGTTAATTGTGAGTACATATACAAATATATCTATACTTGTATATCTACAATCATAACACTTGTACATACCTTATCGGCGTCAATATTAGGTACGGTATCTTCATAAATTTTTTTGGAGCTGACAATTTCTTCACCTTCTTGTGGTGATGAATCCCTATAACCCATATCTAAGTCCCAACCATTAAGTAAACCCTCACAATCAAATCCTTCTTTTGAAATTTTAATCTTTCCCCAAGAATCCCAACCACTAGGGACCATCACTGTGTCGCGATCAACAACATGAGCTTTTTTACTGAAGGCATATGTTGCCTTTGCATCACCTGATAACGCTTTTGTACCAAGTAGTCTATGAAGAATATATTGTCGTAAGTCAGTAAATGTTTGTTCTTGACGAATTGTTGTGTAAAAAAGTGCAGCTCCATCTATAATAATAATAAATATTATAATATTAATATATATATGAGATTATATTATATGATGAAACTAATAAAAATAACTACCACCACCACTACCACTTATCTAATCTAATGATAAAATCTTTATTACAAATGTAGAAAATAAAAATATTGCTTGACTATCTTACATTTAAGACAAATGGTTCTTAAAGATTGCTGTATGAAATCAAACAACTCTTCCTTATAATCAAATTCACGTTCAACATAATCAGACTAAAATAATTTTTTTTAGAAGATATATTAATTAATTATAAATATATAAGTTATATATACAAAATGTATGAATGAATGAATACCTTAGTACAAACTACTACAATCGGAATACCTAAATTTGTAGTCAAAGTACCAGGCCCTAAAGGTAATTCTTCATCATCGCCGTCATTATTATCAGTTACAGTTGTTGTGGTGGTTGTAGGTGTTGTTGCCTTTGTTGTTTCTGTTGTTGCTGTTGTCGTTGTTGTTGTATCAGCGCCACCATTAGTAACATTATTAGGATCGGCTGGCTCAGTGTATTTTTGAATAAAACGTTCAACTGTATATGAATATTAGATTAATAATTAATATAATATAAAACAAACATTTAATTATCTATTTATTTAATTAATAAAAACGGTTACGTGATTCTTTTAACTCATCAACAACAGCTTTTCCCTTGGTCCAACCAGATTTTGAACCAGTGCCTCCTTCACTACATACATCCTTAATACTCGATTCAATAAATTTAATCCATCGTTGTAATGTTTCAATAAAAGTCCAAGGACGTGTCCAATCTAAAACAATTACTACAAGTGAATCTGGAAGAGTTTTATAATTAAGAGCAAATTTAAGAAGTGGCCGATAAGCATCTTCAGAACCAGCAAGTTGATATATTCCAAGACGAGCAAGGGTATCTTATATGTTGATGAGTATTGTAAATATAATTTTTTAGATATTTAATTAAATATAATATGATTCATAATTATAATTTTATTTCATAGTTCATTACCAACCTTCTGCCTCATCATCTTTAACTTCAACATAAGTAAAACTTAATGCCAAGTCATTATCTTTTGTTTTCTTTTCAAATTCATTTTTTTCATCAGCTTCATTCTTGACACCATTTGGAAGAGCACCGCCATTAACCATTGGTGCTTCAAAAGCATCCTCTTCTTCTTCACCCTTAAGATGTCTAATAAGAGTTGATTTTCCTGATTCTCTGTCACCTTAAATAAATATAAAAGCCATATTAAAAACAACTATATATAATATATATATATATATACATATTTTATATATGTGTCTTCATACATATTTATATAATATATATATATATATAAATAGTATTTAAATATAATCAATAATTTAACATACCTAAAATCAGTATGCTTTTACTTGGAGTTATTTTTGAAGAAGCAACGCTTTTTAAAATGGAAGACCAAATTTCCTCTTTTTGGTCATTTGCAGACAATGAATTTCCTTCGTTATGTGATTGTGTTGCTGAATCAATCAAATTATTTTCACCAGTTTTTGGAGCCATTATAAATAATTTATATGATATAGCAAGTATTAATTAATTATATTAATAATAGTATTAAAGGAATAAAAAATAATGAATTATTTTTTTAATTTATTTATTTTTAAAAAAGTTTTTTTTTAAATTTTTTTTATGTTGTGACGTCGTTAATTGGAGTCACGAGAGATTTTTTTTGTGCACACAGTAAAAAACAATTTTTTGTTAACAGTCAAAGAAAAACTAACTTATGATAATTGTGTAATTCTATGCTTGTTGGATTATCTATCCCATTCACATCAATTTTTTAAACAAAGAAAAAATTTTTTTCCAACTTTTCCAAATATGTACAAAGTATTAAAAAAAAATCTTTCACGTTCTCCTCATCTTTTGAATATTGAAATATTATGCGCACATTTGAAAATCCTTTCTGAAATGTATTAATGGTCAGAATGATCAGTTGATTTCACACAATAATATGTAATTATACTCTATTTGGTCAAATATTTTTTTAAGGTCGGGGTTAGTTCTAAGAATTCGATTTTATTTATGAATCCGAAGAATTGGGTCTAATCAATACTCCTTTCGGTAGAGGAGCACGTTGCACATGCATTTGCATAAGTCGATCAATGGAATAATTTTTTTCATTTCTTTCTTTGTAAAAAAATGGAAAACGAATCTAATTCTTCAAACCAGTTGACTGAAAATATTGAAAAAGAAGAAGATATAAAAAAAACGAAAATAAATCCTGAACAAGATCAAGAACAAAAAGAACCGGAACGAGAAGAACCGTTTAATAGAAACATTAAAGTATATAATCCACCATCACAAGATGCGTCCTATTCCAATAAAAGTAAGCCTGTTCCCAAGTTCTTATTGTAAATTGCACAATTTCAAAAGCATAAGTGACAAAGTAATACTAATAATTCTTTTTTTATTGCATGGTATATAGTTAATCTTCCAGATTCTTTTTATGAACTGTCACCATCAGAGTTGAAGAATTTATTGTCAATGCAAAATTCAAAACGATTAGCTTCGGATAATGCAGGGTTTAAAACAAGAGCGATGAGACAAAAGGAAGACGAAGAAAGGGAACGAAAATATCCAAAGGTTTATAATATATGTTATGATATAATATTATAATATGTAAAATAAAGTGAGAAATAATTAAAATAATGTTTTAATTCTCATAAATAGACTTTGATCAGAGTAAAATTTCCTGATAGTTATCAAATGCAAGTTGCTTTCTTGTCAAAAGAACCAGGTAATAATGAGGATAATATTTGTATCTTTGACATTTTGTATTTCCATTTTCAATTTGTTGATAATTAATTTTACATTTCTTCAAATCTTCAAATAATAAATTCAGTTGGCACCTTATATGAGTTTATAAAAAATTCATTGAAGACACCCGAAAGATTATTTTATTTGTGTATCCTTATTTCATTATATTATACTAAAAGTGCCATAATAAAAATGATAATATCATCATCATTATATACTTAACTTCATGTATTTCACAGATACAAGTCCTCCAAAAGTGGAATTATCAGATAAAAAGGTTTCTTTTTATCGAGCAAATCTGGCACCTGCTTCAGTTGTTTATTTCAATTGGAAAGATAAAGCTGCTACGGGTAATTAACATATTATATAATTAATATATTAATTCATTGATTTTATTTCATTTATTTATTTCGTTAATATATAGATAATGGTCCATATTTGTCTGAGGAATATCTAATTATGAGCGAAGATCTTCCAAAACCTATAAATTTAGAATCTGATAAAAATTCTTCACATGATAATAAAAAAAGTCATTCGGCTTTTAAATGGTTAAAACTTGGTATGAATTCGATTATCATATTTGTTATTGTTTCCAAATTAATACATGTATGTGTTAATTCATTTAATTTATTTGCTATTTAGGGAAAAAATAAATATCAATGATATAATATTATTTCAAGAATAATAGAATTAAAAATATTAAATTCATTAATGAGAGAGTGTATTAATAATAAATGCTTAATATTAATATTTAATAACTACCCATTTTCTCATTCTACACGAGCCAATCAGACTCTCTCATAATACATATACCCCTGTAACTTTTATAAAGATCTTTGTGAGGGAAACACGATTATTGAATATAGAAACGTCTTGTACAACAAACAATATAACATACATACAAGCTTGATATGTTTATCAAGCCTTTTAGTATCTTTACAGACTGTGTTTTATGAAAATTAGCCTTTGAAAAAAATAATAAAAAATTTTACACACTATTGGAGTGGTCCGTCAAATATGTAAAATCAAAATTATGTATGGTCTTATATAAAAATTAATATCCATAATTGTTTATTAATGATAGACGATTTTGAAATCCATCCAGCCCATCAATTTTTTAGCTAGCCATAAAAATAGCATCAAATGAAAGCCCGGGGCTTATACTTTCATTAATCAGGCTTGTATTTTTTATTTTTATTTTTTATTTTATTTTAAACCATTTTAAAAACAAAAATATCAAAAAAGTAAGTCTATTTTTTTATACACGTTATAATACTCTCACCCAGACAAAAGTATATATAACAAGATTTTAGGGAAGTGAATGTATGACGTAATACTTGCATACTCAATATCACATTCAGTCTACCCGAATATGGTGTACTATAATAACAACGAGTTTTAAAACATGATTTTCATTAACAAAAATTATTGCAATTATTCTTTCCCTCAAATCGACCATAATAATGTCAATATCCTCCTATATACTGGTTTGAAAATAAATGCAAATGATCTGCTAACGCCAAATGGTCTAGGAGAATAAAAGAGGCAATAGTACAGTTCAAAGACTCCAAAAATCTGAAACTAGAAATGAAAAACACAAATGAGCTGGATAATAAAAAGGTTCTGTATCTAGAAAGTATATTTACACATTGTAGTTTTATGATGATATCCTTGGTTGGCTTTCCTGGAGAGTAAGTATTAAAGATATTAATATCAGAACATTACCACTAACTGAGTATAGTATGCTATTGATAATTCTGTTGTAAAGATTGCTGAGATCAGTGAAGCAAATAAGAAAAAATAGGAAGATTTCTATTTGGTCTTAATTAATCATTCTAATTATTGCAAGATCCAGATTATCATAATTTAGGTAACATCCTGCATACTAGGCCTATTTTAAAAGTTACTAGCATAAGTATTTGTAAATTTCACTATTGTCTATAACTAGAGTTGTGACTAATATTGGTTTTTAACTTATAGTGTGTAACAGTCAAAAGTAGTAAAGATTATACATGAAGTCGAAATTAAAACCCCAAAGTTGAAATATTTCGACTTGAGGCAACCATAGTAAAAATCAGTTTCGACCTTATTTCGACCCTATTTTGACCAGATCTGCAAATGGTCGAAATAGTTTCAACTTCATGTATAGTAAAGATATGAAAATAAGGGCAAAAATTTCATTTTTGCCTTGTTACACAGCCTTTATCTCAAGTTTTTATGGTGTGAATAATCTAAAGACATCATTTGCTGCACCACTTGCCGAAAATTTTTATACAGATCTTGCTTTATAAAGTACTTGGTCATGTGGATAATCAGTAAATTGTGAAAATAATTAATAAGTTGCAGTTTAGATTGTTGCTGAAATTTCAAATAACATAATAAAGTTACTTTTTTTTACAAAAAAAAACTTTCTATTACATTATTTTCATACCTAGAAGATTGCAAAAAAAATTCAAAAATCAGCCAAGTTCTCTCCATTCCCCTTTTTATATGAAAGGAATGAAGAAACACACTTGACAAGAAAGAATAACCCTGAAGAAGGTGATTTGGAATGGAATCTAGAGGAACACATAGATTAATTACAGAACACTTACACCATGTACATATGACTGCAAAAAAAGCACAAGTGGATCAGAAGGACAGATATGATAAGAAGATAAAACCTGTACAATTTAAAATAGGAGAACAAGTTTTATTGCAAGAAAGTCACCATGAAAATGTACATGGAGACAAATTTAGAGAAAAATGGTCAGGACCTTCCCTATAAAAAAACCATCTAAAAGGTACTGAATGCATATGTTATAAACAATATGAAACATACAGAATTCAAATAATAAATCATGTGTACAAAATGTATGGAATTGGATACTTTTCCATACCAGTCACAAGACATTTCCCACTGATCTATAGAGGTTTGTAAAACATAGTAAAATTTTATAATTTAATGTCTTCACGCCCTCATTTGATGCACTTGCTGTGTAGCAACCACCACCAAATTTGTGTTATAACTTCTTTATCATATGTATCTGCTTTAAGAAAATTTTTAAGACAGGTTGTTAATAAAACCAAAAATAATCTGACCCTCAAAGTCAAATTTTGCCTTTATATTCGTATATGCAAAATTTTGTTTGATGTGTCCAATTACAAATATGGGTAGAAATGAATGTCCAATATTACATTATTATGAATATTTACAGATTTTTGATCACCTAGGTATGTCTTTTATATAAAATCATTTGTTTTAAAAGTGAATAAAATAAAGACTAGTGCCATAATCCAAAAAAGGAAAAAGTATGGTTGCAAAAGCAGTCGCAAAGATAATTGTGACCACTTTTTATATGCCGTAAATACAATTACTACCATCACCATAATTTACTGGGGTGTTACACATCAGTATAAACACAAACATAGTTGAGCACACTTATAAAAAACTATATGTAAGGATTTTTTATTGGGTGAAATGTAGATCATTTTTAATAATAAAAATAAATAATAATTATAATAAACATTCTCCTAAAATTGCTTTTGCTTGCTTCTTCTCCAAAATTTTCTTTGCTGCTCTCACACTTGAGTAACAGATAAAAAAGCATACATAATAAGTATTTGTTATTATTATATTCATTGTGCAATTTGATAATTATAAAATATTTAATTTACCATTTGTTCCTTCTGCTCTTTTTTGTGGGTAACTACATGATTTCAACTTTATCTATCTATACATTATACAAGTTAAAGTAATTTAAAATAATAATAATATTTTATATATATATATATATGTATATACATTTAATAATAATTTAGTAATATCCCATTAATTTTGATATAATAATCTACCATGTCAGATACATTGACTATTGATCAAATAAGATCTAAATTGAGAGCAGAACTATTTTTAAAAGAGAAGCAAGGAGGAAAAAGTGATGTTTGGGATAAGTTTGCTGAACTAGTTGACTTGAATGACAAGATGATTGGGTATGTTGTTTGTAGGAATTGTGACTATATAACTAAATATAATTATAACTAGGAACCTCAAATTTACGAAGACATAGGTGTTGCAACTTAGATAATCAATCAAAAATTACTTCATTTTTGCAAAAAAATGAAGCACCAGCTAATGTTAAAAGAATTAATAAAAAAAAATTAATAAATTTTGTCTTTTGTGATTTGAGACCATTTGAAATAGTGTCTGGTAAAGGTTTTCAAGAATTTGCTCAAGAATTAGTTAACATTGGTTCAGTATATGGTCCTTTATCTATTGATGAATTATTACCAAATCCTACAACAATCTCACATAATATAGTAAAAATGGCAAAATCAATCAAGTCAAATTTAGGCACTAAATTAATTGAAATATTTAAAAAAATAGGTGGTGCATTTACTACTGATTGCTGGACAGATGACTATCAAAAGATCAGTTATATATCTTTGACAGTACATTACATAGATGGTTGGATTTTAAAAGAACAAATATTAGCAGTTTCAAAATTTTCAGATACTAGTCATACAGCAGAAAATATTAAAAATAATATTTTTGGTATTTTGAAAAAATATAATTTATCACCAGAAATTAATATGACAAAATACACATTTGTTACAGATTCTGCTGCTAATTTTGTTGCAGCTTTTAGAAACCATGGTCACTTGCCTTGTATATCTCATAGGTATATATTTTATTATGATGTTTTTATAAATTTTTTTAATAAAAATTAAAATTAATTTTTTATTATTTTAGAATTAATACTGTATTGGAAACTTCTTTTAAAGAGAATAATTTTTTGCTGTTTCCTTCTATTATTCAAACTATTAAAGGATGTAAATCATTGGTAACATACTTCAAACAAAGTTCTTTATATTGTAGATTGGAAAAATCACTTAAGCAAGAATCAGAAAGTAGATGGAATAGCAAACTAGAAATGTTAGAATCAATTTCAGATCAATTTGAAATGATATATGATCTTTTGACTGAGAAAGATCAATTAGAAAGAGTTGAAATTATTGATATTACTATTGTAGAAATATTAATTAATTTTCTGAAAAAATTTCATGAAGCTAGTGAATGTTTAGAGGCATCAAAATATCCAACAATTCATCTTGTACTTCCTTGGTATAAAACTCTTTTGATTCATTGTCAGATATCTTCACCAGATGATGAAATTTTAAAACAAATCAAACTGTAGTTAATCAAAAAATAATAGATAAAATTAAAATTCATGATTTATATAAATTAGCTTTATTCTTTGATCCTCAGATGAAGCAGTTGAAAATTTTGGAATCTTATGATGCTGAATGGGTAAAAAATGAAATAAGAACCAGTGTGAGATTCTTTCATTTCAACTTGCTAGTGATAAAAATAATGATGATGGTAGTGGTGAAGATGATAGACCTATTAAAAGAAAAGAAAAAATCTAATGTTGATTTAACAGATTTTAGTCAGTTTTATGATTCAGATAATGATGAAACTGAAGAAAATGAAATTGAAAAATATTTGTCTTCAAAAGTACAAAAGGAATTGGATTTAAACATTTTAGAATGGTGGAAAGCTCATCAAGATCATTATCCAAAACTATCAATATTATGTTTTTATTATTTATCAATTCCTGCCTCCAGTGCACCTAGTGAAAGGGAGTTCAGTGCAGCTGGTTTAACAATAAATGAAACCCGATCAAATTTAAGACCAGAAATAGTTGATAGTATTCTTGTTTTATGTAGTGTTTTCAATAGTAATTCTTAATTTAAAATTTTTATTATTGTACTTTTTATATTTTTTTTAAAATAAAAAAGATATTGGTATATTCTGGGTTTGGTTAAAATTTGGAAATTTTTTTTTGGGTATGGGTTTGTTTTGGATATAAAATTTTGAGAAATGGGTGGGTTTGGGTATGGGTACAAAATTTTGATATCATGTGGGTATGGGTTGGATACGGGTTCAATTATTGTTATCCATGCAGGCCTCTAAACTCTAAATAAATATATAACTACTAAACCCAGTGTGATTGGTTCCCAGCCCCTCTAATGATCAATGGTCTGGTTAAGGTTGCCTGACAAAATTCGCTTAGCCTGATGCCGAAAGGTAAAACCTCCTACATAGTGCCGAAATGCCGAAATGCCGAAATGCCGAAAATGTCGAAAATGTCGAAAATGTCGAAAATGCCGAAAATGCCGAAAATGCCGAAAATGCCGAAAATGCCGAAAATGCCGAAAATGCCGAAAATGCCGAAATGTCAAAACTGACAAAAATGCCAAAAAATGCCGAAACTGTCCAAAAATGCCAAAAATGTCAAAAATGCCAAAAATGCCGAAATGTCAAAACTGACAAAAATGCCAAAAAATGCCGAAACTGTCCAAAAATGCCAAAAATGCCAAAATGTCAAAACTGACAAAAATGCCAAAAAATGCCAAAACTGTCCAAAAATGCCAAAAATGTCAAAAATGTCAAAAATGCTAAAAATGTCAAAAATACAAAACTGCTGAAATATCAAAACTGCTGAAATGTCAAAACTGCCATCTGCCAGATTCAATTATATAATATGTAAAAATTATACTGCACAATTGTAAATTAATTAGATTATTAAATAATCCAAAAAAAAAAACCAAATATATATAAAATGAATAATATTTTATTTTTTATTCTAAACATTGATAAATTAAACAATGCAAAAAAAATAAAAATATTTACACAACACCCAAAATTTATAGTCATATTGTTTTCTATTAAAATGCTTTATATATTTTATATACATATATATACATAAATTTATGTATAATGAACATGAATTTTGAAAAAAATATATATTTATACCTCTTCACTAAGAAATTCACCTAATAAGCCATCTATATCATAATCTAAAATTCCTTTTCCATCCTCATTGGTCATATTAACATTTTCATATTCATCAATATCACTATCGTCATAATCATCTAATACATCTTCTGGGATATTGCCAATTTCTTTGATTATTAAATTATGTGACAGATCCACAAATTTTT